CCCCCATTTTTAGTGTCTGTCTTTTCTTTACAACAAAATTATGTTTATTTAATGGTAATTTATTTTAAAATTTTTAATATTTAATTTATAAATATTTTATGATAAACAAAATGCTAAATTAGATATGAAAGTAAAAAAATCTCTAAAATCCTAGAAAAGTCAAGCAATATAATTGTTTGTATTTTATGTATAAAGGTTAATACAATGTTAAATACCAAATTCTTAATATAATTTGAAAACATTTATCACCATTTTTACAATATTAATTTAATTATCTATTTTATTATAAAAATATTAAAGTCATAATTAGTTTATTAAAATAAAATTAAGAAAATATTTGAAGACAAAAGTTATATCAAGTTAAAATTTTTAGGAACTAAATTGACATCGAGTTATACTTTCAGGTATTAAAGTGACACAATGTTACAATTTTAGGGATTAAAATGATATTGTGTTATATAATCATATGTTTCATGGAACATATATGTCACATGGTACATCACGTAACACGTCACACGTGTCATTCTATATATGTACCACATATATGTTACATGACACTATTGTATCAAATAGACATTTTTGTTTAAAAAAATAGAGCCTATTCAATGGAAGGACTTAAATGACTCGCGTATTGCATTTTTCAGGATTTTTTTAGTTTTATTAGAATTGGTGTCTAAATTGCGAGCAACATAGAATTTTAGGGGCTAATTTTCATTTACTCTATTTATTATTTATTTACAGGAATTAAAATAACTAAGGTTAGAAGCTAACACCTAAGAATGATAATAGGTTAGGCCATAAACAAAAGTTTATGACTTAAACTATTTAAAGTCTAGCTTGTACTAACTTATTTAATAAAAAAAAACCATATTTTTAATAAAGTCTATTTATTTAAAACAACTAAAATTAGGTTTATAAAAGAAAAAAAACATTATAGACATAAGCAACCTATTTATCTATATGATATATAATAATCAAATAATATATATTTTATTTTTGATAATATAATTAAATACATAAATTTGTGATACATAAAATTAAATTATCAATATTTTTAACATTTTCACTACACTTAAATATTTTACATTCTCTGTTTGTATAAAATCTTAGAAATCAAAAGTAGAAATTCTAGTAGTCACATCTTCACTTGCTCATTTCCTTCATCTTCATGATTGATTATTTAAAATATTTCAAATAAGATATAGGAAATATTTAAAATATTTTTTGTATAAGATTATCTTCTTTCATCGTAACATGTGGATAAGTGTACATTAGTGTATATAGGATATGTATGAGTTATCCTTCTTAGATTATTTATTTTTTTATTTTAAAGTTTAAATTTTAATAATAATATATTAAATAATTTTTTATCATGTAAATTTTAAAATATTTGCATGCGTAATTTATAATAGATTTATTGACTTATTTATTAAATTTATTGACCTATTCAATATCGTTAATGTGAAATAGTTTTTTTTTAATAAGTTAACAAATCAAATTACACTTTTAAAAATATTAGATCAAATCTATAGTAAAATTTATAATAAATAATAGGATATATTTAAGCTTTAATTTTATAGAATGTCTGACCTGTATATTAAAAGTTTGAAATATTTTTATTTTTACTAATACATAGTTTATACTATAATAATAAGTTGGTTATGCATATATAAAAATTTCTTGTAAATATATTAGTAAGTTGATATATATCAAATTCATCTATATAATTTATGATTAAAAAATACATGTATATAAATTGACAGTCTTTATTAAAAAAATTATATGTCTTTTTTTCCTATGTGATTTTTAAAAGTTATTAATATTTAATAAATATATTATCACATTATTAAATATTATATTCATCAAAATTATATATCGATAAATTGTCAGATTTGTCATGTAATAAAGAAAATTACACATTAAATTGATTCGCTTACACCAAAGAATAAACAATGTGAGGGTTAAATATTATAAATATTACTATTAATTGAATCTTGAATGAGAAGCTCTCTATTAATTGAATAATAATTTAATTGTATTTGACTCAATATCAAGTTTGCTTCCAACAAAAATAGCTTCCACAATGTATCCACTCTCGAACTTCATTATTGACATTAATATTTCTTTTAATTAAAATCATTCTCCTTATTTTTAATTTTTTTTTATTGAAAAGCGTAATATCACAACTTTCATGATTTTCTATGCATATTTCTAATGATAAAAAAAATATTTTTGATTACATAATTAGTATCTAAAGTGTCATTAGGATATTAGTTATCAAGACTTATTCTCTACTTATAAAGTTTAAATGTAAGTGAGTCATTGTAATAATAACAAACCAAAGCCATGAAAAAATTTCGAGTAGAATTAATTCGCTTAATTGGTAGAACTTTTAATGTGAGCAAGTATTGAAAATTTCCTTATTTGAACGCTTAAAAGTCAAAACACCATGTGATATCACGCTTTTGGCATTGGTCATACAAAAATTGGAGTTCAATTTGTTGAAATAAACAATTTTTTTAATCGTTATGAAGTATTTGGTGTCAAAAACAACTCATCTTTGCCAAGAAAATTAAGTACTCGAATATTCCTCTTCTAAAACAATCTATTTAATATCTAAGATTGAGATTAATTTCAATATAAAGTTTGTTTGTTTAGTTAATTAAATGAAATATTTTATAAATGAATTAAAGGTTTAGATTATGACATTTTCTTTTTCAAATGCTATCCAAAGAAACATTTTTATCCTCATTACTTAAATAATATTTCTACACATTGTTTCCTTCAATATTTGATTATTTAATTTAATTATTTCACTATATTTTTTAATAAAATATTGAATCCTACACAAAAATCAACAAGAATTTAAAAATAAATATTAACGTTACGGACAACATGTAAGACCACCACACCTAACAAGATTTTATGTACATATTTATCAAACATTAATCACACGTCAATTTACCGATTTATATGGTTTTGCGGGTTTGAGGCCTAGTAACCACTGAATTAACTTGTTTATTTGATATATAATTCACTTAAATTATTTTAGTAGTATATTTTTAATTTAAAATAATAATTTAATTATATTATATATAAAATGTGTTGTGTAATTTTTTAACGAATATTTAAAACATGATATAAATTTTATTGAAATTTATAAGTATAAAATATATATGACATGAATATTCTTTTTAAAAAAATTTAATAGAAAGCGAATCATGCAATTCGATTAATAACTTATCAATCCAACACATAATCATCTGATCTAATACTCTAACGGATTTGATAACTAGTCCAATTTATAAAACATTGCTTCCACGTGACAAATTAGTAATGCTCAATGATAAAATCTTTTAAAATGAGGATTGGAGATGTTTCTTTCAACCTAATTATTATGTTTTAATAAAACAGTATAGTTTTGATAATTATTATATTTTTTTATTTCTATTTAAAATATTGGCTCAAATTATTTTTCTTATTCAATGATATTATAATATTGTATTATTAATTACTTAATATATTATATTAGAATTTTAAAAATATATTATTAATTAATACTAACTTAACCATTAAACTTTAAACCAATATTGTCACTAATTTGATGACAAGTCTAATTTTAAAAACATTGATGTAAACATATATTTTGAAGTAACAAGTGATATAATGATAAATGAGTTCTAGGGTCCACCACTTCATCATGTGGTCTATGTGCACCACAAATAATGACCCTTAGATTAATCTAACCTTTAACTCTTATAATGCACCCTTTCTCACCATAAAATTGTCACTCCACTTTCAGCAACCTTCATCACCAACCATTATCTATGACTGCTCAAAGCAATTTTTGAGTCGTAACAATGTTCCTTCAAAACCCACAACTGCAAGTCATCATACAAGACCCATTATGAAGAAATACTTTAGCCATGAGCAAGTCACTTTCACTACTCCTTTCTCCATCCCCCTTCTCGTTGTCATTGATAGCAGCATCTCCAACCTTTCATTTGCATCCTCTTCTTGGAGAAGCATGACATTCATTCCACCATACTTGACACTATCCATCTCTCCCCATATTTCACTTCACCCTTGCAATATTTGAGTATTCACAGTCTTGGAGGAAGATTGGGAACCAGGTCATCAATCCTCATTTGCTAAAATTTGATCGTCACTCAGTTCTTTATCGGTGATGATTCTCCATTTGTTGAGATCGTTTTGGTGCACAAGTGGAAAGATATTGTAAGAGAGCTTCACAACATTGGCAAGGAGGGAAAGAGAGGTGGTGAGAGTCATTTGAGAGAGTGATGGTGAGGTAGATGACAAGACCCAATAGAAGATTGTTGATGGAGGAGCACTAGATGAGGGAGGCTTGTCCTTATTAGTACCAAAATGAAACAGTCACCGAAAATAACCTTTGACGACAATGTGCATGGTGGTTAAGGAATAAGGCTACTAGAAAAAGGAAGACTAGTGTTGTTATTAAGTGTGAGGTTGCATCATAATAATAAAAGCTAGATAAATCTAAGGATCATTATTTATGGTGCACAATAGATCACATGAAACAATGGTGCACCATAGGAGAACTTGTCATAATGATAATGCATTCACATTTTTGTTTCTCGTATAACGGTAGTAATGATGTTTGGAACTATGATTTCATGCATACTATTTCTAGTCCTGGCCCAATCCTAGTGGCTTCTAATGCACTCACAATGGAAAATAATTAAATACATTTTAGAAAACTATATCATTTTCTTCTGTTGCAAATTGGGTTACAAACTTTTGACACTCTTCGATGGGAGAAATGTTGGCAAATTCCTACTTGAACAGGTTCATACAATGGTCGTAGAATGGTAGAGTATCTGTATGATTGCTATGGATTCAACCCCTCCCCAAAAGCAAACAAACCAAAAGTGTAACAATAATTATACAAGCCCGAAATCCAAAAGAATATGAAGATAAACTGTAAACTCTTCTTTTATGATGCCACCAGCTGGTTTATTTTAATCAGAATCAGAACCAGCAATTGTGGAGAATCTAACGACTCTACGTGTACTGTCAGGATATTCATTATCTTTGTCATCCTCATCTTTCTTCTCTGCAATTATGCCTGCCAAATGACAGTTAAAAAACCTTCCAGTCACTAAGTAATAAATATATATATTCAATAATATTGATTATTATACCGTATGGTGGCCGGCTCGCCCGAATACCCGAGACTGTTACTTGTGCCGAGTACCCCGAACCCGCCGACCACTCCCAGATGGGGGCGAAACATGTCGGCA